GCACTCGTTAAAATTTGTAATTTACAGTGGTCGCAGTTGTCGCCCAGAGTCTGCGGGATGCTGCGCAGTAAGTGAGCGAACCATCATGGAGAATGGAAAACACATTCATCCGCTTCAATCTCTTGTTTGACTGCATGGGAATCGTGATTTTACAGAAACTAAATTATAAGACTGGTGGAATCTGTAGCACTGAAGGAACACAAGTTAGCTTAGGAACGAAGAAAAGGGGTGCAGTCACAAGACCTCTTGAGGTGCCACCTGGTCATAAACTTCGCCGCAAAAATCTCCATGCTTTTCGTAGCCCGACAAGCAACTAAATCTTTTTTTTTTTTTGTTTTGACGGCAGTGATCGCACAAGCGAGTCTCCAACAAATTCACAATAAAGAAAAAATGGAATGAACGAAGTATTGTTTGCATAGTAATTTCATCAACTTCCTAGCCGACTTAGTGAGGATCAATTCCCGGAATCGATTTTTCGTGCTGGCTCGCAGTGACTTGCAGCACTGCTTGGGACTGCCATCGATGTTGTCGCAGTACCGGCTGCCGCCTTCGAAGATCCACCAGCATTTGCCGTTGCTTCACGTGCTTGTTTCTCAGCCGGATCAATGCTCGACTTGTAAGTTGGAAGCCTGGTCAGTTTGGCCAGTACCGTTGGGTCAACCAACTTTTGCTTCTGCGATTCAATGTATTGCCGCGGGCTAAAATCAATGTTCAGTTACTTCTTGCATGCAAATCTGAAGAGATTGATGAACAGAGAGAAGATATTGACGATGACTTATACAAAAAAAATATAAATTCAAAAAATAATCAGAGGAACAGTAATGTTTCGGTTCATTAAGTTTTATGCATTTCCAACGATCCTGGCCTTTGCAAGTTTCGTTCAGGCCAGCTCAACGTTTAAATCATTGGCGATGCTCACCAGGCGGGCCCATGCTATCTTGCTTTATTACAATACTTCGTGTTGTATTGCGATCGCTTGGAATCCCAGTAGCTAGAATTTATGACATACTGGCTCAGGAAGTTAATTGCGCAACTACGTGTTACTCGGACAGGGGACATTCCACTAAATTTTCAGCTTCCTAGTTTCTCTGGTTCCTGAGTTAACAATTTCCCGCCAAAACTCTCACGGGACCGCGCGTGAGAACCACGCACACCTGGATAGAGAATTTGAAATCTTTAAGTTGTATGAGAGCTGGGAAGAGCCCTTAAAATTTCAGCCTTTCAACTTTCTGGTTTCCGAATTAATGATTTTCTCACCAAAATTTTCAAGTGTTTGTATTTGAAGCTCAGACGTGCATGAGGTTGGTACCGCGGTGGCAATCCTTTGGTAAAATTCAGCGCGAAAGCATCCGGATAGACGCACACACACACACATACACAAACACACACAGACACACAACCGGGTCGTCACAATATGCGTTTTTGCATTTGCATATATACAAAAACGCATAAAAAGCAGTCATACGTTCAAGCCCCCGTCGACCAGAAGGGCGTAGACT